TGAAAACAAGTAGAGGATTTATTGTACATCAGCGCTGGTGGAGTACCAACCAGGGGTTAACCTGGAGAGCACTAGTTAATCAAAACATTACATTGACTTATATAGGCAGCAGGTGGGCGGAGTGGAAGCAATTTCATAGGTTCTGACAGCAAGATATAATGAGCACATAAGCCAATAAACTACAAAAGTTACACAGTATCTCTGCCCACCGCCAATTAAACATCTTATCAATAATACAGATAGTTATTCCTAACAAGCTAAATAAGCCAACATAAACAAAAGACATGTTGATGGCAACTTTTGTCTGCTGAAATTATGATGCGTCTACTGCGGGGGGTGATACTGCTTTGCATTGGCACAGTCCTTGGGATCCAGGCTTATTATCTAGGGTTAAAGAAGACAGAGCAGCTTCCGTGAAGTTTGTTTTGGTACCAGCCAGGGTCTTATCAGAGTGAGGCCCTCTTGGAATGTGGTTGCCAGAGCGACCAGGGTCATGGTAGCTGCATTCTCTGTGCGTTCCCAGGCCTGAAATTTAGGATTTAAAAGAGTTCTTAGCAAGATACCATAGACTGCCTCAGTTTACCCCTACACAGGGGTCTGCTTTTCCTCTTGTTGTCCTACTTTTCAAACAAACTGCTGGTTTAGGTAGTTGTTGACTGAGCTTACACTGCTTGCTTGTGCAGTGCCAATAGCTCAGAATGCAGGGTGTCGTTATATTTGAAGCTGGTCAAAACCAAGAGTTCAGTTATTTTCCCCTTCATTTGTCAAAATAATTTAATTTGAATAACAATTTTCTCACCAGGTCTAATTATAAATAATTACTGTTAATGCTCAATTTCTTAGGTGTAGAAAGAAAATGTTGTGCTTCAGCCACAGTTAGCCAAAAATGTTTCCAAGCTTGGGCCAGTCCCTTTGTCTGGCTGTGCCAAAAGAAGGACAGGAGATATTTGATATGGATTTAATCTGGCCACAACTTTATTATTAGATGTCTGGGACTACCTGTCAGATAAAAGTGTACAGTGCAGGCAACTCCATGTTTCTTCAACTCCATGTTTGTACCTGGGACTTCCACCAGCCCCTCATTTTTCATCCAGGCCCCAGAGCCAAACCATACTATTCACCCTCCCTTAGGAAGGTTAAGGTGGGCTATAAGAAAGAGGTGTTGGCTCCCCCCCATACCAACCACAGAAGACACCACCCCTTCCCACCCTTGTTCTGTTTCATTAACAAGCACCTCCTTTTTAGTCCTTTATTCAGCCATTTTTCTGGTCAGTGAGTGCCTTTCCTGTGGCGTATCTGCTTTGAACATCTGCCCCACACTTACAAAATAAGTTGTGACGTACGGCCTACCCCCTTTCCTTCTTACCAGAAAAGGTCCTCCCTGACACTTGCTAGGGGAAGAGCTGAAAAAACCTCAGCCTACTGAAGACAACACAGTGATGAGGGAAAAATTCACAGCCCTTAAAAGGAGTGACAAAATTCACAGCACTCTGAAAAAGGAATGGCAAGCATAGTGCCAACAGCTGGTACTAACCTAACCTGATATTCACACCGCTAGGGGAAGGCGGGTGGATGCTGCCTTGCCTGCTGTGTGGAACAAAGGGGCTTCTCATGCCCAGGGCTTGCACCTTTATAGCCTTCAGACCTCACAATCCTAAGGGTGAGGGTAAGTCAGTGCTGCAAAGTTGACCACCCCCCACCTATTCACAGCAGTTTTTGACCTCTCCCCCACCCAATAAAGCAATGCTGTCTTCCCTTGGCAAGCCTAGACTTAAAGTGTGGTGTGGTCCTTCATTGACATCTTCAGAAGAGACTCTTCCCTAATATATTGCAACGTGTTGCTTCAACATACTGTCTTGGAGAAATGCTTATATTTTGGCATTTTAAACTCAGATTATTTACTGCTTGAATGTCCACTGTATTTCCTTCCCTTTTCTTACCTTGTTTTTTGAAATATGTTTGAAAAATATCTATTATATTGTAGGTCATATTTTACGGGAGGTATTTTCTTTCTAGAGTTATTTTTATTGGCAGATATTCTTAGTCTGATCATTATTTACTCATTTGTTCTTGCCTATGCAAAATACATTTTAATTTTTTAAAGGGCATATAATCATGCAGTGTCATTTACACTGGTACATAGCATTTGTATACACCAGGAGTCTATGCTATTCACTGGAAACTGCATAGATAAGAACACATAACCCAAGTTTTTATTTTGTGTCAAAGTTTACAAATGTGACAATACAGATTAGGCAGTCACTTCTGTTGTGAATCAGAGATGTTTTCTGTTAATTACAGGAGCAGAACTGCAGCCTTTACAGATATCAGGATTAGGACAATGAATGAAGTCATAACTGGTATGAAGATAATAAAGATGTATGCCTGGGAAAAGTCATTTGCAGAACTAGTTAGCAGTATAAGAAGGTAATCAGTGTTCTACTGAAATTTATGCCATGATATTTGATCTAAATTCATGCAAAGTTTTTATATTTTAATAAATGCCTTATTTTTGGATTTGAAATGCAGGAGTTCTCTAGAAACTTTGTATAGGTTCATAGTTGTTGTTAGTAGCGGTGGTGGGGTTTTTTTTGGTCACTTCTCCAAGAGAGGAGACAGAATGAGTTTGCCTTGAGAGCAGAATTTGATTTCATGTAAGTGTGAATATAGAATCACCATTTATTTTGTTTCTGAATTTGGTTTATTGCCTAACAACCTATATCCATTGGGATCCTTTTTATATATAAAGTGTTTCATCCTTGCAATCCTGTTTACTTGTTTTCCTGACCTTAAATTACAAAATTCTTTTTCCACCTCCGCTATAAATCTAGAACCCTGCACATACTATACCTAGACTCCTTTTATGTCCAGCTGAAGCACAGCCATCAGATGATAGACCTACTGCTTCACCTCTCTCACAGGTGGAATTCTGCAGTTTAACTATTCGGGGCCTGGATTTCTGGGTTGCAACCCCTCTGTTTCCTGGCTTTGTTCAATACCTGTAAGCCGTTTCCTTCAGGAGCCTTTGGCTGTTGCTGATCAAGTTACCCCCATGTCTGTGGTGGGAGAAGCAGGTTGCTTGTTTGCTGCAGCTTCTGTTTCTCTCCCTGCTTCCCTGTCAGTGCTCTTTTCTTAACTGTTCTAAGTGCCAGGGGGCCAGTAATGGTTTACTACCCTCTTTTGATGCTAGGGTTAGCCTTAAGAAGAGTAAACCATACTAGCCAGGACAGAGCCAGATAGGGAATATTTCTCATTGGTTCCTCAAGGACCCTGGACTTCCCTTATCTTTGTTTATGTTTATTTTATATTGGTTTCCCTCTTGAAGTTTCTTTGATTTAATTATGTGGCTTCACGCAGGTTAAAATTGCACAGGCAAAATTCTAGCCCTAGAATCCGACTTCCAAATAAAATATCTAACTGATAATCACTTCACTTGACCACTGGAAGAAGATCTACGATTGAAAACAAAATTAGTAGTAGGTTTATTAGATGTTACATTAGATAAATTCAAGCAGAAGGTCAATAGAATTAGAACATACAGAGGACAGAAGCTGTCACATATTCAGCTAAGGTACATCTACACTACACGGCTATTTCAGCATACTGGAGGTATTCCAGCTACCATGCATCTACAAAAGCCACCCATTATTTTGAAATACTTTTTGAAATAATGGATGTTCTATTTCACCATCCTGATAAACCTTGTTGCACGAGGGATAATGGATGGCTCGAAATAGTGCGTTATTTCAAAATTTGGCACGGTGGAGACAAGCCAAATTTCAAAATAAGCTATTTCGAAATAGATTTGAAATAAGATAATTTGCTTAGTGCAAATTGCATATCTTTTTTCGAGTTTGGGGTGCTGTGTAGACACACCCCTAGCGTGTGACCAGTACCATCCAGAGTTACTATTGCAACCCTATTCTTCAGAGAAAAGAATTGCCAGAATTGATGACAACCAGGTCTTCAGATCATGAATTGTGGGCCAGACTGAGTGACTAATTCAGACATGGAAAAGGAAGATATTAAAAATAAATTTTAGTCTGGAAAACATATGCTTCAGATCATTATTTGGAGAAGAATTATGTGAATAGCCTTGTATCCCTATGGTCTGAATCAAGCACCAAGCACCAGCTCATGTAATGGTTGGCAAAATAGCTGGCACTGACATCACAGATGTGGATCATAGCTGTTGAGGATTAGATCTAGAGAGGCAGAAGCTTTAGCAATAGGGCCCAAATCTAGTGAAGGATCTGGAATGAAAGCAGGGAACTTTGAGTGGCCTGGGGTTCATCCAGAAGAATTAGCAACCAAGTGGCTATACACATTAATTTGGACCAACCCTCTACAAGTGAACTCATTTTTTTTCAGGCTTGCATCACTTTTCATTTCTGCCCTTTTAGATTTCTCCCTGGGGCAGCTACCCTCTTTTTGGCTCTCTCTCTGCCTTCCTGCCCAGTTGGCAGCCCTGATGGTCAAACAATCGTTGACTCAGTGATTGAAAAGGATAAAGAGCTTTTGGAAGCTCTGTCTTTATATGCTGTGGCTGGGCCGGTTCTACCAAGACCCCTATCCGGTTCCTAATAGTTCCTGCGCTGCCTTTTAGTCCTGCTTTTTTTCCTCTGCAAGGTCCAAATCTTTTTGGTCATTTAAAGTTCAAATTCAGCCTCAGGTTCCTCGCTTGAGAACTGCCATTCGTCATGGCCCGAGGCTGTTACATTGGACCGCTGGCTCCCCTGCCGAGGGGGCGGGGGGAGAAGAGTGCGGCCAACCACCCACGCCAAGATCCTCTCTCCCCTTCTCTTTGGGAGTCGGCCCGCTTTTAAATCCCCCACCGCCAGTCCTTGGCCTGGCTCTCGGGGATGATGTCACCCCTGCGACCCCCTCTCCTCGCTTCTCTCCTTGCCTTTCTCCCCAGTGTCCCACTTCGCTGGCTCCCCCAGGGTCCTAAAGCGGCCCCGTGTGGGGTCGCTAATTCACATGCATGGCAAGCCCACAGTGGCCAGAGGTTGTTGGGCGAATTCTTCTCCCAGTCCAAGCCCCAAGTGCAGGGGGGCACGTCTTGCTGGGTGGAGGTAGGAGACCCCCTGTCACATACGCTCTTAGGCTATGTCTAGACTGCAAGCCTCTTTTGAAAAAGAGCGTCTAGACTGCAAGCGGAACTTTCGAAAAAGCAAGCTGCTTTTTCGAAAGAGAGCACCCAGGCAGTCTGGATGCTCTCTTTCGAAAAACCCTGTTTGCATTCAAGAATGCCGTTTTTCGAAAGAGCATTTTTGAAAAAAGGCGTTCTTCCTCGTAAAATGAGGTTTTCCGCCGTCGAAAAAAAAGCCGCGTTCTTTCGATTTAATTTCGAAAAAACGCAGCTGCAGTCTAGATGCAGGAGAAGTTTTTTCGAAAAAAGGCTACTTTTTTCGAAAAAAAACCCTGAGTCTGGACACAGCCTTAGAGAAAACCCTCAAAGTAAGAAACTAAACAAGAGTGAAGAATTTGAGTTGAATACAGAAATCACTGTTTCTCACAATTTTCTTCCACTATTTGATCTGAGGAAGTGGGTCTGGCCCACGAAAGCTCATCATCTAATAAGCCATCTTGTTAGTCTTTAAAGTGCTACATAGTGCTGTATTTTGTTTCTCACAGTGATGCTTTGTATCTTGATTAAATTAGATAAAAAAACACTTTCTTTTATTCCCCCTTTGGATAAAAAAGATCTGATTTAGAGCTTCCCTTTTGTATGATTGATGAAAAACCTTGTATTTAAATATTATTCTAAACCCTATTTAGAAACTCCTGTGTTATTGTTTTATTTCATTACCATTTGCCAAACGCATAACTCTTTTAGCGATCATTCTTCAGTACATTATTTTTAATGATACGTATCTTTGGATAAAACGTCTCTGATGAGAGCAAGTCTGTGTGAATGGCTTAATCTAGTGATAGCTGTCAAACTATGTTGTGTTATGTTTTTAGGAAGGAGATTTCCATGGTTCTTAAAAGCTCCTATCTTCGAGGATTGAACTTGGCATCGTTTTTTGTTGCAAGCAAAATAACAGTTTTTATGACTTTCATGACATATGTACTACTTGGCAATGTTATTTCTGCAAGTCGGGTGTTTGTGGCGGTGTCACTGTATGGAGCGGTGAGACTAACAGTCACTCTCTTCTTCCCTGCGGCTGTTGAGAAAGCATCCGAGGCAATGGTCAGCATACGACGAATTAAGGTACATTGAGAATCTGAAACATTTTTAAGTTTGTTTGATCACAGTTTGACTTTATGCTGTAATTTGTAGAATTTTGGATTATGGTGGCATATGCTTGCTTCAGAAGGCAATATCCCATTTGTCTGTACACGTTACTTTGGAAAATATCTGAATTATACTACAGTACTCTAAAAACATATGTTTCTGGGGTGGGACAGTGGAAGGTGCGACAGCCTCTTTTCTGTTGTATTTCAGGAAAGAATTCATACTAGAGAAATATTTCCTTTAAGATTCAACAGCTTGAGTTTGCTTTGAGTAATGTAGCAGATTGTATTGTATCAACTATTTATATATTCATTTTCTCTAGATATATGATAAGTCGTCACATACTGTTGCTTTATTTCTAACTGCAAATTGCTTGTTTTTCTTAGAGCTGCAACTATATATTTTTGTGGCTAAATTCTTCCCTTACTATGGAGGCATCAGTTGAAGCAGGGATTTAGTGTCAGCATAGCCTCCTTGAAATTACAGCATTTAGTTTTTGAGTGCAGAATTAGTTGTTTGCACTTTACAAAACTGTTAATTAGTTTGTTTAAAAATTGAATTAAACATTGGACCCTTCCAAGGAATTTTTTTTAGTCCCAAATGATCTTTAAAATGGATTAACATCGTCATCTAATGGATTAACAAAGACTGTTCAAACTTTCCATGTAGTGAAAATTCATTGAAAGTTTGTGCATTTGCTAATTTTGAAGGAAGTTTTGGGATTAAGGAGTTTTTATTTTGCCAATATTCTTCATAACTGAAAGCTTCTTCCTCCTCAAAGGGGAGGATGTTCTATTGTACAGAATTCCACAGCCTCCTTTTTCAAAATGGCCACCATCTCTGACTTTTCTCAATGGGATTTGGGCAACACGATGGCTTTGATGAAGTCTTTCTACATTGGTTTAGAAACATAATTCCTACATCAGACTAGTTTGTCACAGATTATTTGCAGTTTTATATAGTTTATCCAGAAACATTTTTATTCTTAATTCACTTTTCCGGGTCCTGTTTAAGCAATCCTTGTTTTTTTTCCTTTTACTGCAGAACTTTCTAATACTTGATGAGGTTTCACAGGACAATCTGCAACCGGAGAACAGCAGTGAAAATGTCCTGGTAGATGCTCAAGATTTGACTTGTTATTGGGATAAGGTAAATCTTTCTCTGCAAAACCCCATGGCTTTTTAAAGCCATGTTGAATTCAAAATACTTGATGGTCCAAGTATTTTGAATCTAAATAAGGTACAATACAGTCAGTATGCCATCTTCATATGTAACCTTCTGCATATATATGAAGCCATTTAGCAGGCTTAGTCAAAACTATAGGTGTGAAAATACTAACAAATAAGATTAATTATAAAATACAGTGATCTCTAAATATTAAAACCAGTTAAAATACAAAAGCTAGTTATTTATGTGATCATTTTTGTCAGCTGTGACTGATACTCTACACCCTAAGGGTATGTCTACACTACAGCTTATTCAAAATAAGTTATTTTGAAATAACGTTTCTACACACAAAATGCATTTCAAAATAGCGCATACACACTGAGTGGACACTGAATCACATTGAAGGCCAGCCAGAACCAAGTCTGGCAGGGCATCAGGTCAGGAGTTACTTTGTGTGGCTGCTGCCTGAGGCTATCTGAGGCCTGTGCTTAAAGGGACCCACCCTGGACAGCCGGTTCTTAGCTTTCCCTGCTTGCTTGCCTACCTCAGTGAGGGACAGCAAAGCATTTTGTCTCTGTGTGCTCTGGTTGCCCTCACTCGGAACACCACAGTACTCTGCAACATGGATGAGTCTGCAACATGCTATGAGCATGGCTGCACATTCTGCGGGCTGCCATCCGGGAGGTCCTTCAGGGGTTGTCAGTATCCAGGAGGCCCTGCGGGAGAGTTTCCACCCTGAGGAGCACTAAGAGCCTCCTTGGTCTGCCCCACTGGGGGCTTGTGCCTCATTCCTTCTTCACATCCTTCCACTTACTTCACCATAACCCCCCTTCCTGATGTCAAATAAAAAACACAAACTCTCTTTATTTAACAAAACTGGGGGGGAGGGAATGAAACTCTGGTGAGACTGGGGAAAGGAGGCGAGAGAGGGGAGAAAAGAGGGTGGGAGAGGGGAGGGGGAAGCCTGGGAGGAGAGAGCCGGAAGAGGGAAGCAAGGGGAAGAAGGGGGAGGGGAAGCTCAGGGCTCAGGGTTGGGGGTCTCGCCGGACCAACTTAATTTTCATGCAAACCTGCTCCTGGGTTCGCATGTGGCCTTTGGTGGCCAGGCTGGTATCTATCCTACTATAGATGGCAGCATTCCTCTGTCTAGTGCAGAGATCAGGGATGTTGGGGGCATCCCCCCCCAAACCTGAATAAGGTCCATGATCTCCACCCTGGACTAGGAAGGCGGCCACCTTCTCCAGCCCCTGTCAGACTGCTCCTGGGGAGTGGTGGAGGGCTGGCTGGCCGTGGCTTCTGGCAGGCTTGGAGCTGGAACGGGCTCTGTGGCCAGAGTCAACCCCTTTATGGGCTCTGGGGATGAGGGAGGGAGAGGAGTGTTCTTGGTTGATGCTGGAGTGGCCACCAGGGCACCCTGGGAAGGCTGGAGGCCCCCTATTTTGAAATAAGTGTCTACACAGCACTTATTTAGAAATAGCTATTTCGAAATTGGCGTTATTCCTCGTGGAATGATGTTTACCAAATTCAAAATAAGCGCTCCACTATTTTGAATTTTTTTGAAATAGCAGTTTGACTGTGTAGATGCTAGTAAAGTTATTTCAAAATAACTTTGCTGTGTAGACATACCCTAACTCAAATTTGTTGCCATCAAGGATGCAAAACATTGTAAAATGAAGTATAATGGTGACCTTTTTATAGTCCATTATCAATTCTTACTCTTTAGTGTGATTCAGTAGAAGAGCTGACTGCAAATCAGCCATTGGTCTAGAAACAGTGTGGTGCACATACTGGTGTTAAGAGCAGGAGCTCTCCATAGTGAATGGAAAGCATTTTATTCTTTCAGTTACAATGGCAGCCCTAGAGTTCATTTACAGATTACTCTTTGTGTAAAAAGGACCAAAAAATTTCATAAACTCAAAAGTGGTGTTTAAAAAAGGTATTACACGAGTGATAAATGTGTTACGTGGACTACTTGGGAATTTTAATAAAGATGCTAAAGTACCTATTTCATTTTAAAATGAGTAATGCTGGTTCAAATAGCAATCTATTGTTCATTTTGACATAGTTTCTCCTGTGGAGTGCCTTTAATAGTGTACAGTGACTTCTGTCGGTCGTTATAAGGATTCTTGAAGTTCTAAAAGTATATTTTATATAAATGTAATGTTATCATAAGACATGCTGCATGCCTCTACCAGTCTTGCCCAGCCCCCTAAGAAGTTTAAATTACTATATATAAAAACAAAGTATTTCAGTTGTGCAATTCAGTGTTATTCCCTTGTTGGTGTTTTTATGCAATAAAATCAGTTTAATATATGTTTTTATATGACCAAGTATACACGATTTTCTTACTAACAGGCTTCAAAGAAATAGATAGAATTTTCAATTCAGTGTCAGAAAATATTTGCTTCACAGTATGATTTATCATTTTGTCATCTGTTTTGCCCATTTGTGGTTGGATAACAGATTGAACTGTAGTATGATGCGGTCTCTGCCATCTCCTTTGCTCCCACATTTTCAGAGTTTCTTTGTTGTTTTTTTGATTAAAAGACTTCACATTTCTTATAATGGCCCTGATCCAAAGCTCTCTGATGTCTAAAAAAGAATTCCCACTTCCTCGCATACAAAGCTTGCTACTTCATTATGTGGGCTTTGGATTGGACCCAGTGTGAAAAAATATTCCCATGAGCCGTATGTCTCATCCTAGTTTGTTAATATCACAAAACCAGTTTTGTCTTTGAAGAAGTCCAGGATTCTGCACAGGAGTCCAAATTAAAGTGCATTGCCAGAACTGTCTAGGATAAATCTTACATAATAATGTGGGCCTGCCCTCTGCATGGCTCTAGTCCCGTGGTCCCCAACCCGGTGCCTTCGGGCCCTTTACATGTGCCCGCGGAGCAATCTGGGCTGGCCCCGCCCCCGGGCATGCGGCAGGTGCCAGCCCCGGGCGCATGGCCGGCCCTGGCCCTGGGTGCGCCGCGCGTGCCGG